AACAGAGTACAGGAGAGATAAGAAGAAAGCTAACCAAATGAAACCATTCAGAAACATGCAACTATTATTGATTTATGGATTTTATGCAAACAGAAAAAATAACAGAATATAATATGCCAAAAATTATTACAACACTTATTAAAACATTTTGTTATTAAAAAAAGAAACTTGGATTTTTATATATGATATATTTGCTCATTTTCAGTTGTCCCAATAAAATATCGAGTCTTCTTTTTAAACACAGTACATGAGAGATAAAAAAGTTAACCAAATAAAACCATTCAGAAGCATGCAACTATTATTGACTTAACATAGATTTCCCACACAATTAAAAAAAAAAAAAAAAAAAAAAAAAATTATAGTATGCTAAAAATAATTACAGCATTTAATAAAAAATTTTTAAAATATAAAACTAAAAAAAAGAATCTGAAAGGTTTCAGATTTTAAATTACGTCCAAAGGGGCTTTTTTTTAACGTTTTGTGTGTTACCTTTATTTATTAAATACCATATTCTTTGCACTTAAACCATAAAATTCAGTTTAATAGCAATGTCGCAAAATAATTTTAAAATAAGCATATTTTTAGAATTTTGAATACACAGTTCCGCACGCTGGAGATAAAAAGGTCCCCCCGGTAGAGTGTTGCCATTGCTCGCTTTTAAATCATTGAGTTTGCTACTAAAAAATTCATTAAAAGTTTTACAAAATATGAAATCGATAACAAAACAAATTTCAAATTCGGTCTTCCACATGCCCATATTCGTAGAAGAATTATGTCATTCAAAATTCGATGGCTCTATGTACTGTTGTTTTATCACACTGCGAGAAATATACATACACTTATGCAGATTTTTCATTATTTTATTTCTTCAAATATAATGCAGGACTCTAACATTTGGTGGCAACAGTTTGAAAAGGGATTCGCCGTTTATAGTGATTCAACGAAAATCACAAAACAAAAATAGTCCTTGAGGGACAAAGGCCCCTTTGGACTTTAAGAAAAAAAAAAAAAAAAGTAGAAAATAAAGTTAGGTTTTTATATTTAACAGATTTCCTCATTTTCAGTTCCCCAATAAAAGCAGAATTCCTTTCTGATCAGTTAAGTACTGCTACCTACTTATGGCCAATACAAATTAATTTCAAGGTAGGGCTTAAAAACCCAATCTGAATGCATTACATCATATTAAATCCATCACAACAAATTAACAACCGAGTTCATATGCAGAAAACTTATTTGCAAACTTTCAAACAGAGTGGCTAGAAGAGATACGCCAAGGGATAAAAATGAAGTAGAAAATTCGTAACAAGATTTTGATTACTTTATAAAATTGTAACTAATTTTATATAACAGGATTTTAATAAAGAAAATTTAAGCACTTGTATGCATTCAGTATACATACTGAATTCTATTTTTGATACAACAGCAAATTGCACATATATCATAATCATGCGGCAAGTTTTTTCGTACCCCCATCTTAAGAAATACACTCCAAAATATTAATAGTTTTTTGTAGGGACATCGCTTAATCAATAATTTAAAGGTTCAGCTAATAGATTTCTTATTATATAGTCCACCCGTTTTAGGTGTAAAAAATGAAGAAAAAGTTTGTTAATTATAATCTGCAAACTTAAACTGTTTGAAAGGCCATAACTTTTTATAGTCATAATCAGTAAATTCTATCTTCTTATGTATTTAATCTACTTATAGATGGTTTTAGAATAATATCTACATGATGTCCACAATTTATACACCAGATTGAGATATGTTTTAAATAATACAGAATCAGAGATAGTGAAAAAGACTGACTGAATTTTATTTACGGCTTCAAAGAATTTTATATTAATACACATCAACAGGAGCATCATTAGTTGCTCAGAGAATATAAAGTCTCTTCTTGATTTCCCTCCAGAGATTATTGAGTATTTGCTGAGTCACAGTAGCTGATTCAATTTTTAAACTGTTCGATGATGTGAATCTCTGCAGCATAAACTCACTTCTTCAGGTATTCCCAGAAAAAGAAGTTGTGTGGTGTGATGTCCAGAGAATAGGGTGACTATGAAATTGATCCACCTCTACCAATGCAACAATTTGGGAATGTTTCATCAAGGAACATGTACATGTGTAACTATATGACAGGGGGCCCTATTGTGTTGAGAGAAAATGTTTGGCTAAATTTTTCTAACTGCTGTAGAGAAAACAATCTCGTCATGCCAAAGTAATCATTCAAATTAATAAATGACTCCATGAAAAGATGGGATAAATCACTTTGTTATGAGTTGGTGAGCATCCAACATTAACTTAAGGGATACTTCGCTCCATTTTCATTACAAAATGCAGGTTTTCTAACACCTAACTCCTGCAGTTATGTTGATTAACAAACATGAAATGTTACCTCATCAACGTATATGCTTTTATGAAGAAATTGATCACCACTACTACACAGTCAAGAATGTCTACAGAAAAATCCTTATGAACAACTTATCATTAGGTTTGATATGACAACAGATCTGCAATTTATACACAGTCAATTTCAGCCATTCATGGACAACTTTATGAACAATTAAGATGAGAATTCCTATTTGCAGGCTAGCATGGTGAATGGATTTACTGGGATTGCATACAAATACGTCTTAAATGGCAGAAACATTTTCATCATGAACACATGGCCTACCTATACTTCCTCCAAGCAAAAAATGTCCAGTCTCTTGAAACCAGTTTTAACCATCTTTTAACTGATTGTTCCATTGATGGAGGTTTATTAAATTCCTGTCAGAATCGCCTCTAAATTGTTTTTACAGATTTTGTTTTCCATGCAAAGAGAATGTACATTGCATTTTCAGTGCAAAAGGCTATTTTGTCTCTAAACAAACAAGTTCTCTGTTGAAATTCCCCAAAGTTAGAATGAACGAAACTGCTTGAACTGAAGATTATATAAATTTGAATTATTTCCTGTAATTTCATAAAATTATGTTTTAATTTAATTTTGTTATCTGGCGATTAAATTATGGGTTTCCTGCATTTGCAAATTTACTCTTAGCCATTAACAAAGAGTTTTGACAGCTTTTAAAACCAAATGCTAACAAATGTACCCCACATGAATCTGCTGAATAGAGGTACTCTCTCTCCAAAAGGTCAAAATAAAATTATTTTTGAGTATTACTGCCTGAACTTGCACTGTGTCATTTAAAATGTCAAAAATAGTCAACCAAATGAATATGAACAGTAAAATGGTAAACAATTATTTATGTTAATGTAAAGAACCATTTCATTAAAAATATTTGATTTTTACCGGTTACTCAAGAGTAATTATTTTGAAATTATTATGACAAGAAAAAAGGTTGCTAAATTCACAAGAAGTCACAGCAAGCTTTATTCATATTTTAAAAACATGTAAATATGGCATCTTCAAATCACACAACCATATACAATTTATTAATATAAACTAAAAATAAATTGTTAACGAGTTCAGATTACACACATCAGCTAACTCAAAATATTGAAATTAAATTTTAAATAAATAAAATAAGTACATAAGAATGTTTTTGCATTATTCAGAAACTATTTTTCATTATGAGTAATACTCAAAAGTAAAATGGTATGTATGGTATATTTAATTATGGCAAAGCACACTAGGGCTATCTGCCTAAGGGGAGGGATGCCTTCGTGGAGGACTTTCTAAGGGAAACTGGCTTGTATACACGTTACACATGGGGAAAACCACAAAAACACCCATGCAGCCAGCCCGTTCGCGGGATTCGAACCACGGACCGAACTACCAGTGTTCAGCGACTTTACCGCTCGGCCGCTGGTGGGCTCAAAAAGTAAAATGAAAGCAACACATTTAAACTATCAAACATGATTAAAAAATTATTTCATAATATACTTTTATAATTAACTTTCATAATGTATCTTAATGACATTTCTTTCACACCATGGCTTACACGTAATAATCATCTTTAAAAATTATACTATCTCACAAAGCCTCATAAAATGATAACTCGATACTCAGAAGCTTGCACTACATTTTATGCTCAAATGTAAGAACTAACTTAGGTTCATTAATTATAAATGTTTCGCAAAGATATGTAAGCTAGAAAGAAATGCATATTTTAACTTTCCTTCAAACATTCCTAATTACAATCAAAAGATTCTTTAAATTATAACTGATAATGATTACACACATTTAAATTCAATAATGCTTATTTGATAGCAGAGTTAATTTTCCTGTGAAATCAAATAAGCACAAATTAACATCATTTCCTATAAAGTGAGGTGCATTGCATCCATTTTACTTTACAAAAAAACACATAGAAAGCAAGAAAATTTCTATCTTATTGTAACAGAAAAATGATTAAAAATGAAAAAACATTTTACTTCCATTGCACTAAAAAATCATTTTTAATTTCATATCCTTTTAAGAGGGATAAAATGGGAATTTTAGTGAATAATAACCCACACGTTGGTACAAAAGTACTGCAGCCCTTTGTGTAAGTATCCCATTCCAGCATTTGAATCAATTTGAAACACTCACTCACTTTTAAACATGATTACTACACCATTCTGTACTTACTTTGTAATAAACAATACATATTTTAAATACTGGCAGCATTTTAAAAATTGTGACTAAAATTTTTAAAAAAATGAACAGCCAATGAAAAACATCTACTGGTTCAATATACCACAGCACACTTTAACATCTAACCCATATGAACACAAAACATGCAAGTAGCGTACAGTCATTTTATAACTAGCAGCTGCATTACATTTTTCCTCTTTTTCTTTAGTTTAAAATATGTTGGTTGTAATCAAAATACTTACAATGTACCACAATTATTATACTGAATATTGAAGGGCTAATAAAAATTATACAATTCATCCAAATGTTACCAGTAAAAAGAATAGTTACATATCTTTAGTTTCAAAACAGAGCTAAAAATAATTAAATCAACTTTAAAAAAGGGGAAAGACATATCAAACACCAACACAATCAGAAAACTAACCTTTTTTCAGCAATCAGATGGTTGAATTATATAAACAAGGGAATTATGAAGGCTACTTGCCAAGTGAAGGAAAGTGTTTCATGGGAAACGAAATTTCATTTACATTACGCATGGTGAAAACCATAAAATTCCCACGCAGCCAGCCAGTTCACTGCAATCTGACCTCAATTTGAAGAATGTGAAAGATTAGTAGCCTTATCCACTCAGTCACTGGTGAGGCAAAGTACTATTCCCATGAACACATAAAAATGAAATAAAAGAGCCTTATTGTTTAACAGACTACAGTTTGTGCAACATAAACATATATATAGATACATGCACTATGAAACCCAGGAAAACATATGATTCACTTGGTTTTGTTGCAGTAGATTATCTTTTTTTAATTAATTAGAATGTTATAATTTACATTTTGTTTAATTAAACACAACAAAGCACATATGGAAAAGGAAAGATGCATTCGTGAATGAACTATTAAGGGAAGTGGCTTGTGCTTATGTCACATATGAGGAAATAAAAGACTTCCCCAAAAGGTAGATCACTCAATGTATTCAAACCCATATCGATCTATCAGCGTTCAGAGATCTAACCTCCTCAACTATTAGTGAACTAACTGCAGTTTACAGAAATTATAAAAGGTTTATGTTACTTTTTAAACTCTTTTTTCATTATTCACAGATTGCAGAAAAATATAGTTTAACTCTGAAAAAAGTTTAAAACTCGTTTTGAAATTGGTTTAAAATTATATACCGCTTAACATGCCTGAAACTAGCACCATTTTTTAAAACAGGTTTAAATGTTAAAAATAGATGTCTACATGAAGCACTAGACGAGCTCTGTAAATAGTCATAAATAAAGACTTGCTTATTCCACACATTTATCTTTTCAGAAAGATTGAAAATCTTTCGATCTATAATTTGGCTTTTCAAACATATCGAAATTTGAAGTTCACAGTATTATTAGTTTACATCTCTACATACTTAACCTCTGAAAGAAAGGATGGAAATGCATTACCTCAAAAAAAGAAATTTAATCTATCATAATAATGTACTGACAAATGATTGCTACAGTTAATAATGAAACTGTTTATTACTCAATAACAATATTTAAAAAAAATTTGAGGGGAGGGCTCCTAAAATGAAATTTAAAAAACAAACAACAACATATACCAGTACTTTTTATTCCAGTCTACCATTTTTCTATTCTAGTCTACCAGTACTTTTACTGCACTATATTACAATAAATGTGTAATTCAGCAAAGGAATTTTAAGTCTCTTAAATATTCTTACACCAATTTGGAGTTGAAGAAAATGATGGACACAAGGGGATTCAAAAATATCTGCAAAAAAGTAAAGGGAAGAAAATAAGTAGATTTTCTAATGGAATGTGTGTGTAAAAATTGCACACTGAAGGTATGAGTAGGAGGTAAGGTAAGGTTAAGTTGCACATAGAGTAAGCATACAATAAGTTGAGCAAAGCATATGGATAGCCATCTGTCTAAGCAAAGACATGCCTTCATTGAGGACTTTCTATGGAAACTGGCTCATATTTATGTTACATAGGGGGAAATGGATAAAAAAAAATCCATGCAGGCAGCCCATTGTCTACATTTGAACCAGGATTTGAGAGAAAGTTCAGCCACCAGTTTTCAGTGATCTTTACCACTCAGCTATTATGAAAGGGGGGAATAATGGATAAGAAAGACAGGTAAAACCAAAAGAAATAAATATTTTTATTAGTCCACTTTTAATAACATGTGGTTGAAATTCTGAGCATCAGCAATAATACAAGATTCACTTTCACACAATTTCTTGTTAACATGCTCGGACATTGACAATTCATGACCTGTCTCCTTGGAAACTGCTTGCTTTCTGTCTATCCTCTGAACAGCTGCTTTGATTCCTTCTGCAGACCTATATATAAAATGTATAGCAACAAGTTCTGCATCAATGCTGTGATGCATACCACTCAAAATTGATACTGAGGATTGATGATTTATTGTAGTAGATCACTTGCCAATCTTTACAACCCTCAACATAACATACCATTTCTGAACACCCATTTCATTAAAAAATCTGTTTATTTTGATCCTCTCTAGTTGTGAACATTTTTACCAGGTATTTTAGAATCACTTTGCATAGATTATGCTTAGAGAACTTGACAACAAACATTTTCCAAGTACACACTTTTGCAAAAAAATCGAAGCATCATGAAGAAAGTGGTTGTTTTTGATGAAATTGGATGTGTATATAGCTCATACACAGATAATAAAATGATTAAAAATCAATGTCATTGTACCTGTTCACGGCTCGCAATCACCCACTGAGTGTTCAAATTAGTAGTTGGTCGAACCACCCTTGGTGGCAATGCATGCTTGAATTTGTCAAGGCAAGGAGTGGTGATAGAGGTTCCTAATGTCATCCTGCGACACATTCTGCCAGGTGTTCATCAGTTGTCACTTCAGATCTGCGATATTTTGTGGTGCCCGAAACTGGCGCTTTACCATTTCCCAGACATGCGCTCGATTGGTGAACTGTCTAGTGACCGCCAAGGAAGAGTATCAACTGCATGGAGACAGTCCAGAGATATGCGAGTGGTATGTGGCCTGGCATTATCTTGTTGGAAAATGGCCCCAGGTGCAATGAAGGGTAATGCAATCAGCCACAGGATGGTATCAATATATCGTTGAGCTGTTAAAGATGTACAGAGGGATGAATAAAAATGACTTGCTGTCATAAGAAATAACGCCCCACATCATCGCACCAGGATTTATGGCTGTATGCCTTTGTAAAACAAAAATTTGATTGGGACCGCTGGCCCCGTCGTCTACAGACACGAACAGGGTGGTCATCTGCTTCAGTGGAGTGGAGTGGAGCGGGAATCATCACTGAACACAATACAATGTCAGTCTTATGGCAGCCATGATGATCAGCTGCAACACCATTCCAGACGACTCCGCCGAAGTTGTGGGGTCAAAGGTAAACGTCTTAAACACCTCTGTGAGCATAACCCCGCCTTAGACACACCCCGTGAGATGGTGGACGGTACCACTGAAGGTATAGACATGGCTGTAATGCGCTGAATAGTCGACAATGATTCCTTTGGGGCGGTTCGGGCCTGGCAAACAATCAATTGCCTTGCATTTATGCTCCTTGGCCTTCCAGAGACTTCATTTCATGAGCAATTTCCTTGTAGCAACCATTGCTGCCAACATCTTTGCTCAGCAGTGTTTGTACTCTGCAGGTGGCGGCCTGTTGCTCGGTATGACCACCCAGCTTCATGCAACCCTACAATGCGACCACGTCCGAAGTTGTTTAGTTGTCTGTAAGATCTTCAAGATCGTCATTATGGCATTTTCAGTTGCTTTTTACGGAATTAGAATTGCTGTTGTAATGACATCTCTAGTTGCAGCAACAAAAAAAGATAAATTTTCTGCCTCTGTTATTTGTTTTATACTTTGCTAATTGCGCACTAGAAATGCACGCTATGATCACAATTCCTGTTCATTTGCCTTGAAACTTTGATCATTTACATGTTGGAGCAAGATGTTTTTGTATACCAAATTTCGTCACGATCACAAAAGTCTTGGAGGTTCGATTTTTTTGCAATAGGGTGTACATTCAATAATGTTCCAGTTCAGTATCTTGGTTTCTGGTAATTACATATTAACAACAACAGAAAATTAGGCTTGCTTTAATTTATATGTTAGAACCAATAACTCTTTCACATCCAGAGGACCAAATATGTTTTCCTCAAACATTGAAAACGTCCATGTGTACGAATTTCTCTTGCAATGTTTTCCTCCCCCCCCCATGACAAGCAGAATGCTACAGCACTAACAATAATCCACTTAAGTGACAATTTCTTTTATGGGCACTTTCACCACTGTGTGCAGTTTCCCCTTGGACTGCAACTTTGGCATTAATAGCTAAACATTGATAGTAAACAAAGGAAAAAGAAGGTACATTAAAATAACAGAACTACTTTTAGTCACTTCAAAAAAAATGATTGGCATGCCATTTAACTCCTCCTTCAAAGCAACGAATAATGATGTGATGGAGAAAAGCACTAGGTAGAAAATGATTCAGGCATTCAGGCGACATGCCGATGTCTGAATGGTCAGGTGTTTTGGGTGACTTTGATCCAAAAGAGTTAATCCTCATTACTATTATAATGCACTTTGTGAATGATATCTATTATCTTACAATACTATTCTAGAAATACTGAAAAATAAAAAGTGTTGACTACAGCTTCAACTTCTCAGATTGCTACCAGAATCCACATGACAACAAATGCTTCTAAATATATTCAATAAACTTTTAGGTTAGCATAAAGCATTTTGGCATTTCATAAAATTAATAGCTTTAGATTAGATCTAATTAAGTCTCCATTTTTTAATATAACTTGGAATAAATTATTCAAAAATTTCTGTTAATTCTGTGCTGCTAATTTATTTCATCAAATTCATATAACATCTTTTTATAGAAATAATAGTGGCAGTTTTACTTGGCCCTATGAAATGGGACGGGGATGTGTTAAATACAGTACAAAGTCCATAATTCAGACATCCATTATACGGAATGATCTATAATCCGGACCTCAAAGCCACAAACTTACGCATGCGCGTAAAGTCAATAAAGTGTTTACACATATGCGCTTCCAATAGTGGAGAAAATGACAGAGAGGTTATTGAAGACGAAAGAATTTCCATTGACAAGTTAGTCGGTATTCTCGACACAGCAATTACAGGACTTGAACAGTAGAACTTTGTAACTAAACAAGAAATTATGTCTGTTTATAGAAGAAAGAATTAAAGAGAAAGTATTAGCACAAAAACAAGCAACTTAAACAACTTACATTGAAAGAAATGTTTAATAAAGTAAACAAATAAATATTAAGCTTGTTTTTTGTAAATTTTGATACCCTTTAGATCATAATTGCTCTTTATTTCATAAATTTAATTGTATAATTTCTGCATGCCATCTTACCAAATTTAAATTGATGATCTATAATCCGGAAAAACACTTAATCAGGAATCGCCAAAGTCCCGATGAGTCTGAATTACGGACTTTGTACTGTAATTGGAATGACATACGACTTTACAAAATTCAGAGATAGTAAAAAAACTATTACTACATCAGACTACTACCAGATATTCTGAGCTACTCAATCAAACAGTCATAACTCACCTGAAATATTCATTTGCTGACTTTTACAAGCATTCTCATAGCTTTAAAGACAATTACTAATTTGAAGGTGCAACAACAAAGTAGATAAACTTCCAGAGAAGAAGACATTTTCTTCCTTTGCATTTTAGCAGTTTATATATAAACATTATTTTTATCTCTTTTTCAGAAGCATATGACTGGATTTTACTAAATTTTGAATTAGCAAGATAAACAAAGTTGCATTACATTTCTGAACTCGATGAATATAGTTCATTCTTATCTTTTAATTGCATTCAATTGCTTAAAGTTAAAATTCATGTTGAAAAATTATGAATTACAGAACAATGAATTATCATAGTGAAAAACTGAGTAAAAATACAGAAAAGAAAGGAAATTTTTATCACAAAAATAAAGATTCCACTTAAAATTTCATAAATAATAATAATAAAATGTTATTTTATACTTACCTGGATAAAAATCTGTTGCTTTTGACATTTTAACTCTAGCCCCAGCCTCTTTTTGTAATTGGGCAATGGTCTCGCCCCCCTTACCAATGATAGCTCCCGCAGCAACAGATGGGACGAGTATTTTGAAGTGATAAGTCCCATTTGCTAGATAACAATATTTAAAATTTAAGTTAAAGAAATAAAAAAAAAATTAAAAAAAAATAAATAAATAAAAAAAAAAAACATGTTAAAACAAGCATGTTCACTGAATGAAATTACATTTAAAATTAAAAATCATGTTACATTTCCATAAAAATATTTTTAAAAAAGGCTAGAAAGCTAAGCGATGAATTTTTTATTTTCTTGCAATAAATAGAAAAGACAACTTTGTCTAAATTTATAATTTTCACTTGACGAAAATATATCACAAGCTAGTAATGAAATTCCAACTACATAAAAAAGTATTTCTCAAATGCAAGTATGTCTCACACTCTTGTTTCTAGTTTTTACACTAATAAAAACTGTAAATTAGTAAATCAGTGATACTAATTAGTATAAAAATAATCTTTATTCATCTGCCAGCTGGTATTTTACTCATGGAGTATTCTGGCTACTGCAAAACACACAAGGGCTATCTGCCTAACAAAAGGTTTTTTTTTAAAGAAAAAGTGGGATGCATTCATGTTAAATATGAGAGAAAAACATAAAAACTCTGATGCAACTAGCCTATTTACTAGGAATTGAACCCATATTTAAAAATGAACTATACTAGTAAGTTTCAAAGAAGCAGCTTCTATCAATGTAATTTCAGTATATACAGTACAAAGTCCAAAATCCGGACGTCCATAACCCGGAATGATCTAAAATCCGAACCTCAAAGCCTCAAACTTTTTTTTTTATGCTTTACACATACATTTTATGCTTTTTTATGCATTTAATTTTTCCTTCCATAATAAAACGTGGAGATTTTCACTTAAAACTTTCAATTCTTGATTTCACTAAGGCACTAAATAAAATACCTCGGTATGGAAAAACAATCATGTAAGCATAAATTTGTGAGATTAATAATTTGGCTCCGCAGCTGAGTGTCTGCTTGGTATACATCTCAAACCGAAACATTCACCTATTTTATATCCCTGATGCCGACTTGGCGAGTCATTATTTATTATATTTTGCTTTCATTGCCGCATGTTTATCAATACATGACAGCTTCATTAATAACTTATGAAATTATGTGTAAACTTTTTTCTTATATTAGTAATTGAATAGCAAGAGTATGGCAAGCTTTTATGCTAACATTATGCTTGGCGATGATTATAATGCTGATTTTGTTGACTGACTTTGCTTATCACAGTAACTTCCTAGATAGTATATGCGAAGACCTATCCATCTGCAGTACTGAGATCTTACCCTCAGCTCAGTTTTTTGCCTATGCTATGTTCAAGAAAAGTTATGCGCTGTTGCTATGATGTTAAACTCAGGATGAGGCTCATGCCCAGGTGCCTGACTACATGTGACTTGCACCTAAGAAATGCTGACGAGGAAAAGGTCAACAAAAATTTCTTTTCATATGCTAAAAATAGATTTTGTTATTGAAACTCATAGGCTAAAAGATTACATTTAGTGCTATTTTAATTAAGAATAACTGATATGTTATTCACTTATAAACCCAGAAGTGACGTGACAGAAATATGTCGGGCACCGGACGGCAGAATTTAGGGAAGACAAAAGTTTTGGAATTTGGGGAAGCACCGTGACGGCAAAATTAAGGGATGAGAAGTTTTTTATAATGCAAAAACTTTTCATATTCTCGACACAGCCATTACAGGAACTTTTGTAACTGAACAAGAAATTATGTCTGTTTATAGAATTAAAAGAGAAAGTATTAGCACAAAAAAACGAAGCAATTTAAACAACTTACATTGAAAGAAATGTTAAACAAATAAATATTAAGCCTTTTTTTTTTTTTTTTTTTTTTTTTTTGTAGTAAATGTTGATTCCCCTTAGATCATAATTGCTCTTTTTCATAAATTACAATTTCATATTTTTAATTGTATAATTTCTGCATGCCAACTAACCAGATTTAAATTGATGATCTAATATCCGGAAAAATCCCAAATCCGGAATCGTCGAAGTCCCGACGAGTCCAGATTTTGGACTTTGTACTGTATCATATATTGGGGAAGGGGGAAAAGAGGAATGGCCATAAAACTTCCTAAAACAGACACCTTGTAGAAACTGGCAGACATGCTAAAGTTGAAATGCCTCCGGCAGAATTAACAACTGAAGAATTTTAATAAGTTACTAGAATATTTTATCTAAAAATATATATTGTTTAAGCTTATCACAATGCCGAACATAATACTGCAATCTGCCTATGTAGTGTCGCTTCAGTTCCGTTAAGTTTCTAATGAAATTTAGTTAGAGCGGAATGGCAACACCTTCTAGTCTCCGCGAAGAACGAAGTAAACAAACTTCGAGTTTTTGTCACGCGATGCTACGTGCATGTAAAATGTAAATAAATCTTATGAATAAGAATCTATAATATCGTAAGGAATAAAATATTGGTTCCATAGGAGTCAGAAAAGTGTTATTTTTCTATATTTGCACACCAGACACTTCACTGGTGTATCCCGGCGTGATCGAATTCTACAATGGCTGACGAAGACGAAACCGAAATTAAAGGAACAACCGCATCTGTCGCCAAGGTAAGCGTTAAAGTTCCTCCTTTTTGGAAGCCAGATCCTAAAATATGGTTTATTCAACTAGAAGCACAATTTAGAAATGCAAAAATTAGTGCAGATCAAACAAAATATGATTATGTTATAAGTTCCATTGAACCCGATATTTTGTCACAGGTATCTGATATTTTGCTAAGTCCACCACAAGATAATAAATATGAGGCAATTAAAAATAGACTAATTTCATTATATGCTGATTCAGAGACTCAAAAAACCCAAAAATTACTGAGTGAGTTAGAATTGGGTGACAAAAAGCCATCTCAATTACTGTGTGAGATGCGTAATTTGGCTGGCGATAAAGTAACAGATACTTTCCTAAAAACATTGTGGCTACAACGTTTACCCGTTAATATGCGTAGCATTATATCTGTTAGTAGTGAAGATTTGTCAAAAGTGGCTACAATGGCCGATAAGATTTGGGAATTAAACCCTGTTACTCCCCAAATAGCTGCTGCATCATCCATAACGGTAAAAAGTAAAAACGGAAGTGATTGAAAGTTTACAAAAACAGGTTAGTGAATTTAGCTTCCAAGTTCTGCAAAATAGAATTTCTTATTACAAACATAAATGGAGAAAAGGTAGCAAATAACAAACCTGTGGTATGTTATTAAATTTGATCTATAATTCATTTACTGAATGAAAACTCACATTTAAGCAGGAAAAGTTATGCAGTACAAAGTCCAAAATCCGGATGTCCAACCTCTGAACAACCACACAAAAAATATATAAATAAAATAGTAAAAAAGTATCCCTTCTTTTACAAAATCTAGGCGTGGAAAACATATTACTCAACAAAAAGAAACAGCACTGCCGTAAATGGGATTCTTCTCCCGATTGCGATTCCCGCATATCGCTTTCAGACACCTGCTCGCTAGGGAGTCGCACCATAGCCAGACATCAATACACCGACGGCAGGACACAATCCCACTTTGGCCCTTGAAAGGTCGGGGGGGGGGAAAGAAGTGCACCGAGGCCGGCATTATTTATTTTGTCGTCCGGTGTAATATCTGCAGGTCTTGAGTTCTGCTGAGCAATGCTTCTCCTAAATTCTAAAAATTTTGTCCTCAATTTTTGTTGTTCGGTGCGGCCACACCGGCTCTGTTGGGGAGTTAGAATTTGATCTAACAATAAGCGAAGACTCGATGTCGGCATGTCTATATGTTATCTTAAACAGATTGAAACTGATGATTTAAAATTCGGAGTCGCTGAAGTCCCGATGACTCCGAACGTCAGACTTTGTACTGCATTCCCTTTTATGCTGTTATCACATCTATAGACGCGCGCGCTTACCCGGGACAATTCCGAGAAACGAGATTCTAGTAGCACGGCTTTAAGCGGCAGGCTTCCGAGAAATGTTTCGTCTAGCTAGGAGGAACGTGTCCCGGCTACGAGCAACATTTTAAAACTTTTCCCAAAATGTTCCGGCTGGAGACGTGTTCCTCGAACGTTCAACCAATCAGACGAAAGGTCAGCTTCTGAAGGATCACGGGTAACTTTCAATATGGCGATGGCTCTCACTGTGAAGTGATGGACGGTGGAAATAGAGGCCGATTTAATTATTGCTGTTTTGTTGTAATACAACTGCCTGAGTCATTTTTTAAATGTGTATATATTCATTAAATATATAATCGTGGAAATTTCAGAGTTGACAGTATTTTACGACGTTCTTGCATTTCGGATTTGTTTACAAATTGTTCGTAGCCAAAAGTTCGCCAAATTTGTCGTATTTCGTGCTGATCGTGTATTATAACACTGTTATATAATAGAATTTTATTTCTTAAATTTAAGTTGAATAATTTTTTAAAATCCGTTTGTATATGCGCGGCTTTTCTCCTAATTACTTATCTTTTAAATTGTTAACTGCATAATCAGTGACACATTTTAAACAGCATAAAAGATGCATAAAAAAGAAAAGCATAGCTTATGTAATAATGAGAATACTCATTAAATTTGTCTATTATTTTCATGTTATTAATGAAATACTTTTTGAATTATAAATACATTAGAAACTATACTTTTATTGTAAATGCTACATATTGAAACATTGAAAATTTATGGATTTATTATTATGCATGATGAAAAACATTTGTATATACATTCATTAATATAAATCTTATTCATTACATTAATACTAATAAATATATATTAACAACTTCTAAAACATCGCATCTCTCTATCTGTATGTAAATATATGACTTATTAGATGTGTATATATATATGTATGTATGAATACAAAAATGAACATTGCCAAGAAGTTTATTTGAAGTTACTTTTAATTCAGATAACGATTATGTAATTGGCAGCAACTATAGTTATCAGTTCTTTGCAAATTATTATGGGTATGTAATAATCAGTTGAAAAATAATTGATGAGTATTTGAGTACTAAAGAGTGTACACATTTTGTTATTGGGTTAATTC